TATACAGTAAGGAGGTCTCATTTAGAGATGGTGAGAGCACTGGATAGTAATATACAGTAAGGAGGTCTCAGTTAGAGATGGTGAGGGCACTGGACAGTAATATACAGTAAACAGATCACATTCAGAGTTTTCCCGCCTCTTGGCAAAAGAAGCTTACTTGTGATGGATTTTGGAATTACAGAGGTAGTGGTCTTTCCAGGCCAGGCAGCACTGGATGCTGTCGTTGAGGATTTGTTTGCTGGATAGCACACAGCCCTCAAAGATGTGGTCCAGGGAGATCTGCTGGCAGCACAGACGGATGATCTCATTGCTCACCTGAGGAGATGGCAGGAAACAGAGCCCAGCATCAGCCACATCATTCTGCCATGGACGAGGGGCCAGGCAAATTACGAATTTTGATAATGCAAACATGGGATAACTGGGGACAGGCACATAAATATAATGTTCATTCCAAAGCCAAGCAGATTTTACTTGCAATTAGGAAAAAATAGGGGAAATAGAATTAATTTAAAAATGATGAAAATCCCTGATTTCAGCAGGAGGCACACAACAACATAGCACAGAAAGTACATTTTATAAAAGCATAAAACAAGGATATTCCTGAAGCTCTCGAGGGATTTGGGCCACTTTATAATCAGCCACTTTCCCACGCATCAACTTTTTCGTCATGCCTTATAAATAGGATTCAATCAACCTTTTTTGCGGAGGCGGAGGAGGTAAAAAAAAAAAGCCGTACCCCAGTCTGAGAGACATAACAAATGGAGTTAAACGTCTGAGATGAGGCGGAAAGAGATGGGGCGGTCGAGCGGGAGTACCGCGGCGCACGGCACGAGTGATCTGATGACGATGATATCAGTAATAACGATTATTAAGTTTATTGCTATGGCTGTTATTTCAGCATTTTTGCTTTGAATTAGGCCGGAACACCAGAGCAACTGGGTGCCCTAAAGCGTCGCGTGATTAAAAAAACGATATTAAAGCAGACGTTGGATTCTCCGGCATAAAAAAAAAAAACGAGCCAAAACAAATAAAGCGAGGGAGCCCAGGGGGGAGCAGGAGAGAGTGGCATTCGACTGCCGCTGCCGCCGCTCGGCAGCCTTTGATTAGAAATTATCGGCAAATCTCGCGGCGGAAACCAAATTATGAAAGGCTGTTCTGCTTGAACTCCTGGAGCCCTGAATGAAAAGACGCTGGGGTTTAATGCTACAGGATGGATGCCGAATGCCTTCCGAGTCGAGAAGTCAAAGGAAAATACTCTCCCCTGTTAGCCATGCATCAAACTTTGCAACTTAAAATGATGTTATGCAAGGGACTTCCAATAAAGAAAGAACAGGAATCCAGGTCACTGGAGATCCAGTGCACATTTTACACCCAGTTAGGCACCGCATTGCATTACCGAAGTACTTTTCATGTACATGGCGCTTCAAATCAGCCAGACTTGTTTACATTCAACACAAAAACTAACTTTGCATGTTCCTCAGAGCTGACTCCAGTTATGGAGAGAAGAGGGGCACCCTGGAGATGAGCATCTCCCCCAGCCAATAAGAGTGGGCCAATCTAGCCCTAATACGTCGTGTTCCGTGTGTCACAAGGGGACTATCTACAAGGGACACTCAGCTGTCTCTGAAAACCCAGTAGACAATATGAAACACCAAATGTAAACACTAAAAACACATTTAGAGAATTTTCAGATCCAGAATAGTGGGGTGGTGAAAACCTCCATACAACTGCAAAATATTTTGACAGTAATGTCGCTTGTAACTGTGCAGTCTTTCTGAGAGCTTTGATGCAGAACACACAGTTCTTTTGCGGCAGCATCATTAGTGCCCACAGGCTTACCGGCTCACTCACAAGTGTTCCTGCTGTACATGTGAGTGTCTGCTGGACATAACAACAGCCCTGAAGTGCCAGGAAAGCAACAAACATGAAAAACAGAGAAAGCCGGCGCCGGTCACAGTGCCAGGAGGTCAGGCTGTAATGAACAGAGGTTAAATGCTCTCACTGACCACGGCAGCACGAGAACACGGCATGGAGGAAGACAGGGAGGCCACAGGGGTGAGGGGGGCAGCGGACAGAGAGAGGGGGCTTGGCCCTTTGTGTGCGGCGGGAGTGACCTTGCGGAAAAGAGCTGTGATCCTCTCGCTCGTGTTGTAGTGTGGCGAGTTCATCCAGATGATGCGGATCAGCTGGATCAAGGGAGTTAGTCTGGGGGGCACCTCGCGAGGCTTTAGCTGGGAGAGCTCCTCACAGGGCCCGCCGAGCAGCGACAGGAAGGACAGGTTGGACTGGGCCTGCTGGGATCCATCCTGAGCACACACACACACACACACACACAGAAGGAGCACTCAGTCAGACTCACGCTCAGACAAAAGCACATGGAGAAGCCGCACTCAGACACGCAGAGACATACTCATAAACAAGACACTCAAATCTGGATGCTTAGTTAGACACACACAGCAGGATAGGGTTATTTATACCGAAATATATCGATATTTACCCAGAAGCAGCAGAGTAGAACAGCATTACGTCTATAAAAATGCTATTTTCTACCCAGAAAAAGATACCAATGCCCTGAAACACAAACCAGCAAACACAGACAACTGGAATGGAAATAGTGAGACAGAGCACACAAATGTGGCAAGAGCATAACACACTGCAAAGAGGGACATAAACATGCTTATCTATGTCATTTTACAGGAGACTGAGCACACGATGACATGAAATAGCTCAGGAACTGAACAAAACAGACAGCCGGTATTAATAAACACGAGTCTGGTCATGGCGTTAAATAATAAACGGCAGACTTTCCGTCGTGACGAGCACGGCAGCATGAAGGCGACAAAGAGGCGCTTAAATGAACGGAGATTGCCAGCTCAGCAGCAGTGCCAGCTTTATGTCGTCGGGCGAGATAAGGAAGCACAAATGTCCGTCTCCCAGTATGTGCATCAACAGACGAAAGCATCCTCTCCATCTTAATTATGCTGTGATCTGCCCAGATCCTACAATAAACGCACATGCTAAGCAGATCTGTATCCCAGTGAACGGGACAGGAGCAGCCAGCCACCTCACTTCCTGGCCTGGATGACATCACCCTGACCTCCCTACACACCTGACTGAAGGCCATCAGTCTGTATGAAACACCCATGCTTGCTTTTTCACTAAAGATCGCAAAATGAAAATATTTATAAATCAAGTGATATTACTTCAATGTTTTCCAGAAACCACCTGCCACCCAAAAAGTTGCATACCAGCCCTTACTATGAATCAGTTGCTCATGAATTATAATCTGCTATCCCACAGCAGTGGAATAGATTGATACTGTTCAGCACAAAGACGGAGGGTTTCCATCAGCCAGCGTTCCTCAGCCAGCTACTACAGTATATGAAGTGCCTTTGTTGTCCTGTCAAAGGCATGTGAGTTGCACTTCTAATTAGCACTTAGCTCCCTGGCATGGCAGCAAAGCAATTTTCGGGTCAAATGTCATCTGGGTCCTGACAAGCAGCCTTCTAGCGAAACCAACTAACACCATAAAAGCATGTTTTTTTTTTTTTTCTTTCAAGTGGCAGGTGGTAAAATGGTCAGCTGCCAAGTAAAAGCTCCCCTGCCCTGCCTGCCCTGCCTGCCCTGCCTGCTCCTACAGTCACTAATCCCCCCAGCAGCTCAGGCACCTCGATTTGTTTGGCGAGCTTGATAAAGGGAGGCACGTAGGAGGACTTGGAAAGCTGCAGCGTGGTCTGGACGTGGCGCACGCCGCTCTTCTGCAGCTGTTGACTGATGCCCGACAGGTCGGCGCAGCGGCTCTTCCAGAAGGCGATCTCCTCCAGGGGGCCTGAGCTGCCTCCAATCTCCACCATCTCCTGGGCGCTCAGAGCCTCCTTTATCTGCCGTGTCCAGTGAATCATCACCACTGGGGGGGAGCATACGGAGGGGGGGGACAATGAAACTAAAGTGACGGAAAAGAGGGACAGTAAGAAAAGAAACATGTCCACACAGCACAGGTCTTCCCACAAGGTGAAGACAATGCCCCCCGGCAGACGTCCGGAAGCCCTGGGTGCATAACAAACAATGAGCATGAGAGGATTCCTTGCCGGAGGGAGTGTGGGATCCACACGGCTCTCTTACTCTCCAGCCTCTGCACCAGCTCCCTGTCCTTTGCGGCGACCTGGGGGCTGAAGCGCAGGGCCTCAGTGGGGATGTACAGTGCCGTGTGCCCCTCCAGCTTGAACCTGGCATCTGCGGTGGAGCGAGACAGCATGTGAGTGCCTGGGGAAAGCCAGGCCCCTGCGTGGCCCACCCTCCAAGCACCAAACCAGTACAGGCACCAGAGCGCCGTCCCCAGTAGTACATTACTATCCTACTTCACTACTTCATGTCCAGATTGACAAGGACAAGGCTGCATCATTCCATTAGTGTTGTTATTATTGTGATCAGATTCCACATAATACGGTAATGGGTTACTAAACGCACTAAATCATTTAGGTCTGCGTCACCCAGAACATCAGCACAATCTGAATGGTATCCAAGTTTGATTTGTAGTCTTCACAAGCTGCCAAAACGCAGAGCTGGCCTGGATTTTGTCAGCTGTAGCTTCTATTTGTTGACGGCAGTATATTTGCTAACGCTTACTGCCTGTTTACGAGCCTGTCGGCCTGTGTCGCATTTAGCTGCCTCCCTGCACAAACACGCAGCCCCGGCAGCTTGCCCACAGTGGCTGCGTTTCAGTCTCTCCTCCCACCCCCACACGTGCCCAGCTACAGCCGCTCGGACTGAAAGGCCACAGGCTGCAGGTTAAGTCAAATGCGTGTGACTGGGTACTTGCCAATGATCTGGGTCTATGGGCAAAAGGTTGTGGGTTCAAACCTGATGCCATTTGGAAAGGGACACATCTTCTGCAACAACTTCAGTAATGCTGTGTATGATTTACCGGAAACAGGGAGGTTATCTGCATCCTCAGGTGTAAATGTGCATTAAAAGAAAAGTATTTCAGTAATGCAGTTAAGTACCATACTCAAGGGTAAAACTCCATAAGAATTAAAACCAGAACCAACTAATAAACATATTTAAACCCCGGGCCCTAGACCAGTAAGAGCTCCATGACTGATGATAAGCTCTAAACTCACAGTGTACGCGGTGCCTTTTAATTGTGTTATATTTAAATATAGCAAATTGCATACATAGCACTCCAGCAATAAACGAGCTCATGTGTTTAGCTCTTCAGGCATTCTGCCTTCATCTCCTCCGATATATCACTAATCTGCCTGTGACCCTTTCGCAGATATATCACGACTTCACTAGAGGCAGATATAGCTGGCAGATTTGATGACAGAGGATTAAAATACAATCAATAATATTCACCAAAAATTGATGACGAAAGAAGTCTAATATAGAAGCAGGAAGTCAGCAGAGATCATGATGGAATGAGGTGTGGAGAGATTATAGAATGGCCAGGAGACAGTTTTATAAGGGGCGTCGTTCAGCAGAGGATGCCGGGGTGCAGATACACAGAGGCACTGGCTGGCTGCTTCATAACAGTTATTTAGTTGGACGAAAGAAGTGAAATAAAGGGGGAAAAAAATCACAGATATTGGGGGAAGGGAGCAGAATGCTCTGCATCAGAGCAGTCATATACACACATGGGGGTGTGTAAAGAGGCACCAGAAGGGGGCGCTGAGTTATGTGGCTGAGACCTGTGAGGTGCATGAGGAAGCGTTCCATGTGCATTGACAAGTTGTTCTTGATGCTCTGGGGCAAGGCGGTGCGGAGGGTGACCAGGGGGGCGTACACCCCACTCATGAGGCGCAGCAGGCTTTCCACATCGCCCCCGCGCACCGCGCCGAACTGCATGGCATTCTCGAAGGTCTCTGCGGTGATGGGCTCCCTGTCCAGCCGGATGAAGTAAGCTAGCTGCTCCACCGTCTGAGGCATACAAATGGGGGAAGAGAGGAGGAGAGGGAGTGCAGGTGAGGGAGGGGTAAAGACCATGGGAAACAGCTGCAGGGGGTTAAGAAATGTACAATGGAAGTTTTCTGTGATAATATGACAGGCAGATAGATAGATAGATAGATAGATAGATAGATACTGTAGATATTCATTGATGTACATAGTGCTACATGCTGGGGTGTCATCATCCTTTTTTAGATATTGTCCTGGCATGTGTTATGGAGGGGTGAGAGCGGGCACATCGACGAGAGGCACTGTGGTGTCTGGTGGCAGCTGGCACAATAGATCCCCGGTAATGCTCGTTGGCCAGCCATGCTGGAAGGAGCCGGTAGCTAAACGCGAGATCTCCCCATGGAGCGAATTCCTGTTGACTTGCTCCAGTCATGGGGATAAAATTTTTGAGACGGTATGAGGCTGTTTGAGACCATTAAAGGGCTCTGCAGGTGTGCTTCTGAGATAATCAATTAATAACAAATACTGTAAAGTTAATAAGGCCGGCACAGTGGCTCAGTGTGTAGTCCAGCTGCCTCACACCTCCAAGCCTGGGGGTTTGAAATCTCACACTGTGGGTAGGCAGACTGCATGCTCTCCCTGTGCTGCACTGCATTCCTCTGGTTACTCTGATTTTTCTCCCACAGTCCAAAGACATGCAGCTAGGCTAAATGGCGTCTCCAAATTGCCCTGTATATGTGAGTGGCCTGTGATGGATTGGCATCCCATCTATAGTGTACCCCTGCCTTGTGCACTGTGCTACCTGGCTCTAGCACCCCCCCCCCCCCTAAAGTCCACATAACTAAGATCAGCAGTTGGAAGGTGGATGGATGTAACTGACAACAAGTCTAATGAATATTTTGATATGGAGAAAACAGCATTTGACTTTTGATAAAAGAAAATGCTTACAACTTTAAGATGAAAACTTGTGTGATGTAACTCTAGTGTAAGTAGTGTTGAAATTATTGAGTCTTTGAAGATATGGTTGGTAGGATCACTGTAGACTTTCAGTCACCATTGGGTTTAATGAGATCTCAGTGGATGAGCTAAGGTCCAGGTGGTACCTGTGATGGGACCCTGAAGTCTAGCTGAAGCCCAGCAAAGGGGTCCAGGTACACGATGAGGGTCTGGATGGAGGTGTTCATGATGAAGCTGTCCAGGACCCTATTGTTGCTTTCAGTCCAGGAGGCATATGTCACACCACTTAGAGCCACCCGCCTCTTAAAGAGGTCTCGCTGGGGCAAGGCCGAACAGAAAGGGGGTGTCAGGTCACCATCATCACGATCACACCCCAGACACAGCAGACAGAGAGCCACGTCATTATCACAATTTATAAATGGGTGTGGCTTTCATTAGATCACATTTAACTCACTTGGGTCCTAGAAAACAAGAATAATACATCAGTGGAACATTCAATGTCCTTAGTAGTGATTAAGATCACAGACATGTTAATGCTGTAAGAAATCCTAAGAGGGCCATCAAAATTATAGGAGCATCTATTAAAACAACTCAGACATTGTTTACCTGGGTCATTATTAAGTGATTCTGTTCAGAATTAACTTTTCTTAAATGTCACTCATAACTGGGCAGTGGCACTCAGTCATTAAGGTGAAGGTAAAGGAGATCGCAAACACACATTCTTACAATGTAAGACTAGCTATTGTTATTTGACCATTTTGAGTAAAAGCTCACAAATCAAGAAAAACTTTACCAGGCTGTCATCTCCCTTGCCATTCTGGTCAGACATCCACTGCGAGCTCGTTTCTACATCTTCCTCTGCCACAGGAAGACGACAGCCTGTAACACCATCAACACCAGCAATCCCTTAACCCGACAGAGATGACGAGGAATATATCTACTTTCTGTCCACCGGATATTGGCATCCCTTGACCTTTCATCATCTCCCCACTTTCCAAGAGCAACAGACAAATGAAAACTTGGAAAAAAAAACACCTGAATTAGTGTGTTAATTTCCTGTTTTTACAACCCCAATTCCAAAAAAGTTGGGATGCTGTGTAAAATGTAAATAACACAAAGCAATGATTTACAGTTGTTAATTAAAGGTAGAGCTGGTGTAACACAGTGGTAAACCTCTTGGGAACAACAGCAACTGCCATGTAAAATCACAGAGTGGGGACAACGCATGCTGAGGCGCACAGTGTGCAGAAGTCGCCAACTGTCTGCAAAGTCAATAGCTACAGACCCCCAAGCTTCATGCGGCATTCAGAGAAGCTCAAAAACAGTGAGTACAGAACTTCATGGAATGGGTTTCCATGGCCGAGCAGCTACATCCAAGCCTACGATCACTAAGTGCAATGCAAAGCATCAGATGCAGTGGTGTAAAGCACGCCGCCACTGGACTCTACAGCAGTGAAGACGTGTTCTCTGGAGTGATGAATCAAGCTTATCTATCTGGAAATCCGATGGACAAGTCTAGCTTTGGCAGTTGCCAGAACAGTTCTTGCCTGACTGCATAATACCAAGTGTACAATTTGGTGGAGGGGGGATTATGGTGTGGGGTTTTTCAGACGTTGGGCTTGGCCCCTTAGTTCCAGTGGAAGGAACTCCGCATGCTGCCATTTTGGACAATTTCTTGCTCCCAACTTTGTGGGAACAGTTTGGGGATGGCCCCTTCCTGTTCCAACATGACTGTGCACCAGTGCACAATGCAAAGTCCATGAGGACATGGATGAGTGAGTCTGGTGTGAAGGAACTTGACCTCACAAATGCTCTCCTGGAAGAATGGTCAAAAATTCCCATAATCACACTCCTAAACCTTGTGGACAGCCTTCCCAGAAGAGTTGAAACTGTTATAGCTGCAAAGGATGGGCCAACTCCATATTAAAGTCTATGTATTAAGTATGGGATGTCATTAAAGTTCATGTGTGTGTAAAGGCAGGTGTCCCAATACTTTTGGCAATATTGTGTATTTGTCATAAAATAATCAAATTTCTCAGTTTCATCATTTGATACAGTATGTTGCCTTTGTTCTATTTTCAATGAAATATGGTTTCATATGATTGGCACATCATTGCATTCTATTTTTATTTACATCTTACACAGCATCCCAACTTTTTTGGAAATAGGGTTGGACAAGGTTGGAATAAGGACAAATGTATTATTATTGTATTAATGTATTATACATTATTTACAACCATTCATGTCTGTCATTTAGAAGCTAGCAGTCTGGTTCAATTTTAGGGCCAGCCATTGGAAAGCATCCCTGTTAGTGCCAAAGGCTGAGGACTTCAGAGACACTTATCCAATCAGCAATTGATTGACCCCTGAAACAACAGGCAGCTCAAGGATGCATCCAATCAGTGATCCCAATTCAGAAATTAAGACCAGGGATGGAAGCAAGGCCAGGGTGCTGCAGATTTCCAGAGGACTCCTCTACTTATGTACCAGCACTTTGAGGAAGGAGCAGGGGGATAAGTGTGCCACACGTGCAGGGCAGCTACACCCACTCATCACCTTCAGTCTGCCTCTGCTTCCCCTCTGGCCAGGGTCCCCTTTCGTCCACAGGAGCGTCGCTGCACCTCGCCTTGGGGGAGGGACTTTTTGATGAGGCAGACTGCCTGGACTGCACTGCTGGAGAGTGTGTGCCATGTGCTGTCTCAGCATCTGCCATTATGATGCTGCTCTCCTCTCACACCAGCTGAACAATAAGAGGAGAAGTTAGACACTGGGGCTAAACATTTCCCAGGTTTAGCCAGAGGAGACTTCTGACCTGCACACCGCTGACATATATAAGGCACAACCAAGCCACAAATGAGGCCCCAGCTCCCTGTCCCCTTCAGTGCCTGAAAACCAATCTTTTGTTTTGCAATGGATGCAAGCTACCTGCTATACCAGTTTTAAGACATAGGCAGTAACCATGAGCAAATGGATCATGTTTACGCAATGAGACTAACTAATGCTACATCATACTTAAGTGGAGGTTTGGATCAGTTATGATCTAGGGGGACATAAACTATATTGACAAAGGTATTAGGACACCTGGGAATTACACCTACAGAAACCTTTATGACATACCATACTAAATCCATAGGAATCAATATGGAGTTGCTCCCCCCTTTGTAGCCATAACAGCTGCCACTCTTCTAGGAGGGCATTCCATAAGATTTAGGAGTGTCCCCCCCCTCCCTCTCCTTCTTTTGAGGAAGTAAATAAAAATATAAAATTAAATAAAAAAAAAATAAATAAATAATGATTAAAAAAAAAAAAAAATAATAATAATAATAATAGATACAGTCCCCCGCAGAGGGGGGGTGGAGGAGGGAATAAAAAAAAAAAAAAAAAAAAAAAAATAATTAAAAAAAAAAAAAAAATAATAATAATAATAATAGATACAGTCCCCCGCAGAGGGGGGGTGGAGGAGGGAATATAAAAAAAAAAAAAAAAAAAAAAAAATAATTAAAAAAAAAAAAAAAATAAT